TTTGAGGTGGGTTTATATCCCCATTCAAACCTACAGTCCAGTTCCAGGTGGTTTTATATCCCCCTTCAACCTTACTGTCCAGTTCCAGGTGGTTTTATATCCCCATTCAACCCTACCGTCCAGTTTCAGGTGGTTTTATATCCCCATTCAACTTTACTGTCCAGTTTCAGGTGGTTTTATATCCCCATTCAACCTTACTGTCCAGTTTCAGGTGGTTTTATATCCCCATTCAACCTTACTGTCCAGTTTCAGGTGGTTTTATATCCCCATTCAACTCATAAAGCACTAACGCTTGAACTAATTGCCAGATGTCTGTATAAAGTTTTATATCCCCATTCAACCCTACAGTTGAGTTTCAGGTGGTTTCACGTAGTGCGATCGTCGCCTGTTGCATGAGACCGCCACCAGATGACTAGTGTACCTGTGCATGTCCCCATAACAACTTTGCATCCCCGTTGTTTGATTTAGGGTTTTAGGGGTTATCCGTTCTCAGCTTTTAAGGGTTTTTAGGGTGTTTAGGGTTCTTAGCTGCGTGCGTCTTCCTTGACCTCTGCTAATAGTTTCTGCAACTTATCTATGACCTCCTGACAGATCCGTTCAGCTGGGCTGAGCAGCGGCGGCTGTTCTATGGGCACGACAGCCGAGTCACCGCCTGCAGGGGGGGCTGTGGTAGAGACAAGCAGGTTGTTTATATTCACACCGATGTATATGCATACATGACTATGTAGCTAAATGGCAACCCGTACTAAACCCTAAACCCTAAAACTGTGTAGGTCTTCCAGCTTGTGTCGCTGGGCGAACGGAGAGCTTTCCGGTTGAGGCGAACAACACCAACAACGTTGACATATAACACAAAGTAAAGTAACATACAGATAATAAATATATGCAAATATACACAAAGTAAAGTAACATACAGATAATGAATATATGCAAGAAACCACGCAATACACACACAAACAACAACGTATCGACTCATACTGTATAGTTCGTTCGACCGTTTCTAGTGGACGCGAAAGCCACCAACAACGATTGACATAGAGCACACAGTAACATAGTAACATGCACTTCCTCATTACATGTAGGTAACCACCAACGACCACACATAACACAAACCAACATGCAGATACTGAATATATGCATAACTGAATATAACATAACTGAATATACGCAAGTCACACCATACACGCACAAACGACCGTGGAGAGCAACGCATCGGCACATATGACGTACTGTATAGTTCTTCCAGAAGCTGTCGCTGAGCAAACAGAGCGCTTTCCAGCTGTGGGATGACTTTCTCGGCACTGGTTGTGCCGCCGTAAATGTTCGTGAGAGCAATACTTGAGCTGTTCTTGGCGGTTGGGGGTCTGCAATGGCAAGGAGGGGTATACGTATGGGTGTGACGGTATAAGTTTGAAAGGTATACGTATGGGTGTGATGGTATAAGTTTGAAAGTTAAACCGTTAGACGGTATAAGCAGGTATGTCAGTTTGAAAGTTAAACCGTTAGACGGTATAAGCAGGTATGTCAGTTTGAAAGTTAAACCGTTAGACGGTATAAGCAGGTATGTCAGTTTGAAAGTTAAACCAGACGGTATAAGGAGGTATGTCAGTTTACGAAGAAATATGGATACGTAAACCGTTAGACGGTATAAGAAGGTATGTCAGTTTACGAAGAAATATGGATACGTATATAGTGTAAACCGTTAGACGGTATACGAAGGTATATCAATTTACGAAGAAATATGGATACGTATTCAATTTAAATGGTTAGACGGTATAAGAACGTATGTCAATTGGCGAAGAAATATGGATACGTATATAACTTAAACCGTTAGAACCCTAAAAGGAAAGTGGGTATGTATATAGAGATGTTCGTAGTTGATACGCCTAGAGTGCGCTTGCAAAGCAATCCAATAGATCCCATGTGCAACCCCCCCCCAAACCTTACACCTGCACAAGTACAAAACATTGCAACACACACACACCTACACAAGTACAAAACAATACAACACACACACACCTACACAAGTATAAAACAATACAACACACACACACCTACACAAGTGAAAAACAATACAACATACACACACCAACACAAGTACAAAATAATGCAACACACACACATACACGCACGTTCATACACACTTTGTCTTGGGAGCTCTAGGCACGGGCACAGACACACCAACACAAATACAAAACAATGCAACACACACACAGACAAGCCCATTCATACGCACTTTGTCTTGGGAGGTCTAGGCACGGGCACAGACACACCAACACAAGTACAAAAGCAATGCAACACACACACATACAAGCCCATTCATACGCACTTTGTCTTGGGAGGTCTAGGCACGGGCACAGACACACCAACACATGTACAAAACAATGCAACACACACACACCTACACAAGTACAAAACAATACAACACACACACACCTACACAAGTGAAAAACAATACAAAACACACACACCAACACAAGTACAAAACAATGCAACACACACACATACAAGCCCATTCATACACACTTTGTCTTGGGAGGTCTAGGCACGGGCACAGAGCCATTCCTCACCGCAGAGCTGGGTGGGTGTGGTGGTATGCTTGGCTGCATCCGCTTTTTGGCGGGTCTTCTCGGAGGGGGATTCCTTGGAGGTGTTGAGTGTACCCCTGTGTGTTGTACATTGTGATATATGTATATACATGAGTGTATAGGTATATGTATGAGTATTTATGTATATGCAAGAGTATATAGGCAAATGCAAGGGTATAAGTGTATATGTACGAGTATTTGTGTATATATACGAGTGTGGATGTAAATGTATGAGTATATATGTACAGAAACAAGATCGAGAGCGTTTGAAGATGCATACGTATATGTATGTATGCGCAAGGTATAGTAACAAGATCATCAGTGTGTTGTGAGTTGTATACATATATGTACGTGAAGAGACACGTTCCTCTGACACACATACATACAAA